TGAGTTAGCATTTCACAAGTAGAATCCTAAGGGGAAGGGGGAACTAAAGCCTTTGATTCCTCCCTTGAGAGGACAACCCAAGGTCATTCTCCTGACACTTGCCAGAGAGTTGGCATGTATCCCATGTGAGCTATTCCTTGTTTTTTGTTCTCATCTCTAAAACTAGCCGAGAAACTCTCCTCTTTACCCATTCATAACTTCCGAGATAAGTGTCCATCTGAGCCCAAAGACCCATAGCCTCTAGCATCATAGATAATAACCCTCTATATCCCCCTAATTAGCCAACCTCCAGTAAATCAGAAAACATTACACTCCTATCCCCTTCAATCAATTACTATGCTCTAATATCATAAACCAGGGGTGGGGAACCTTCAGCCTTGAGGCCGCATGTGGCCTTCTAAGTTCTTGGGTGAGGCCTTTTGACTGAGTCCAAGTTTTACAGAACAAATCCTTTTATTAAGGGGATTTGTTCTGTGACGTAAAGGCAGCAGATAACATTGCTCCCCACCAATAATCATCCTGGAAGCCTCCAAAGGGAGGGAACATCCCTAACATACATCAGAGATGGGAATTTTCCAATACCAAAAAGAAAGATGGGAAAACCATCTTTGGAACTGCCATCATTCCCATCAGAACGGTGATTTGGAGGCTTGTGTCTTCTGTCTCCAGCTAGTGTAAAGAGTAAGATTTAAATGATATTTAAAAAAAAAAATGTTTTAAATTGGAACACTAGTGCATTGTTGGTTGAGCTGTGAACTGATCCAATCATTCTGGAGAGCAATTTGGAACTATGCCCAAAGGACAATCAAACTGTGCATCATACCCTTTGACCCAGCAACAGCACTTCTAGGGCTGCATCCCAAAGAGATCATAAAAATGGGAAAAGGACCCACATGTACAAAAATATTTATAGCAACTCTTTCTGTGATGGCCAAGAATTGGAAATTGAGGGGATGCCCATCAATTGGGGAATGACTGAATAAGTTGTGGTATATGAATGTTATGGAATACTACTGTGCTATAAGAAATGATGAGCAAGCAGACTTCAGAAAAACCTGGAAAGACTTGTATGGACTGATGTTGAGTGAAGTGAGCAGAACCAAGAGAACCTTGTACACAGTAACAGCCACATTGTGTGATGGCTGCCTTTGATAGACTTAGCTCTTCTCAGCAATGCAAGGATCTAAGACATCTCCAAAAGTCTCATGATGGAAAATGCTGTCCACATCCAGAGAAAGAACTATGGAGTTTGAATGCAGATCTAAGCATACTATTTGCTCTTTTTTTTTTCCTTCTGTTTTATTTTGTTTCTTCTTTCTTGTGGTTCCTCCTATTGGTTCTAATTCTTCTTTACAACATGACTAATGTGAAAATATGTTAAACAGGAATATATATGTAGAGCTTAGATCAGATTGCACGCTGTCTTGGCAAGGAAGGGAGAGAAAACTTAAAACTCAAAAGCTTATGGAAGTGATTGTTGAAAACTAAAAATAAATTAATAAAAAATGTTTTAAGAGATAACTTTGGGGAGGAGAGAAAAATCTCAGGACTGTAAAAATGAAACAAATCCAAAAAAAAAATCTACTTGTGAAAACAAATCTCTTTTGAACATGGAAGTCTTATGTGACAGTTTCCTTTCTTCCTCTCAAATGTCAATGGTTTACTACAAAATTCCTCATTTGAAGAGGCATTTGCTGCCAAATGAAGGAACAGAACTGAGAAGAAGAAACTGATCAAGTCTCCTCATTTTTAAATCCCACAAACTAAAGAAGCTTTCATTCCAATTGTGGCAAGAAAGGGTCTTAATTTAGGTAGCTAGGTGGCGCAATGGCTGGATCAGAAGATAGGAACACCTAAACTCTAATCCTGATTCAACATTTACTAACTGTGTGATCTTCATTAGGTCTCTTAGCCTCTGGTGACCTCAGTTTCCTCACTTGTAAAATGGGGAAAATAGTACCTACCTTCCAGGGTTGTCATGAGAATAAAGTGAGATAATTGTACAGCACTTTGCAAACCTTAAAACACTATATAAATGCTAGTTATTATTGTTGTTGTTATTTAGATACTTCAGATCCCAAATTGGTAGGAACTGAGTCCCTGGCTCTGGAAGATCCCTTGGTCTCCAAGAAGCTCCCAGTCTGTAGAACTGGGGTTGGTACCATTTGACCTCATTGTAGGAAATGCAGACAGTTGCCCCATCTTTCCCTCATCCATAACTGGTAGGTATAGAGAAGCAAAGCCAGACCATGAGAGTCTTACCAGATGCCTAATTAAGCTGGATGAGGTCTATGGGGCTAAAGGAGTCAGGAGGGACACCGCGGCACACCAACATGGGGCAAGGCAGGGTGCTCCTTCACACACTTTCCATTTACGCTCCAGAATCAGTTTCTTGGTACATCTACCCTGAATGATCCCCTCTAGCCCCACATCACATTCACTCCACTTTACTGAAATGTTTAACTCATACTACAAAGTTTGCACGGTATTGACTATTTTGGGGCATGTGCTGCTGTGTAAACATTTAGTTTGGGGGATAGTGGGGAGAAACAGGACAGCCTTTGTTACCCCTGGACAGAAAGGATTCACAGGAGCCCATAAATAGAAACTGAAAACACATGAATCACTCAGTACTTCTTTTCAGAAACACCCTGTCCCAGGGTTACCATGAAGGCAACATCCCAATACCCTGAGGAATCCCTAGCTCTTTAACAGGGGTCCTACACAATCTGCTCTGGACTTGTACTGCTTCCTGTGGTTTGTACTCCCCCCAGAAGGAACACTCATGGTGGAGCTGCTGGAATGGCATCCTTCTCATCCTTCCCTTTCCATCCCACTTGGCCTGTCTTAATAACTCACTATAACCTGGTGGTCACAATGTCTGGATCTCCTGTTTCCTCCTCCAGAAAATCCACTCTCCTCACCTAGATCCTGGCTGTGCACTCTTATCTGCAGAGATTATGGTTGCTCTTCTTTTTCTCTAAGAAAGACACTGCTCAGGACCCCCATCCCCACCCCACACCCTATTCTCTTATTAGGGTAAAGAGAATTGTGATTATTTTTGTGACACAAACCTCTTGAGCAATCTCAACCCCTTTTTGGAAGAATGTTTTTTAAAATGCACAAAATAAAACTCATAGGATTATAATAGAAACCATCTTTTTTAAAGTTATCAAAATAAATTTTTTAAAAGGTCATAGACTCAAAAAACAAAAAAACAAACAAACAAACAAAAAAAGTTCATAGGCTCTCAGGTTAAGAATCCCAGCTCTAGAAGTTTCAATCCCTGAACTTTCAAATTTGAGCTTACTCCTGAGGTAACCCTTAAGCCTATGTGTAAACATTCTTAATGTGTGTATATGTGTGTTGTCTACTCGCTCTGGAAAGTCCTTACGGGTACTTCTCCTCCATCCAGTATCCATTTTGCTACACTGAGATTGGGTGGAAAGAGTCAGGGGAGCTGGGTGACTTCAGGAAGCCAGTTCCTCTAGGCCTTAACTTCCCTCTCTGTAAAATGAAGGAGCTGAACCTGATGGCCATCTTGTCAGCTCCCAGCTCTAAATCCTATGATTAGTGTATGAGGTTGACTGTTTCCTTGCAGTCCCCACTACTCCTATATTTTATTCTCTCATCGTTTCCCTGTCATCCTATGAATGTCAGATGGAAAAAGCAACAATCCATTTTATAACACAAAGTAGCCAGAGAGGTCATATGTTTGGGATATTCCCTCATTTCTCTAAGACTATCCAAACTTGAAGTAGGCCTCTTCTGTGCTCCAGGGACAGGCTCTGGTTGTTTCTGGTATTTAAGTATCCAGTATGCTCAGGAGAGAGGTGTGGGGTAGAAACAAATATCCAGGCATCACTAATGGAGAAACTGAGGCCTCAAAAAGAGAAAGGATTTGTTAAGCATTTCCTGAAGAACAGAGCACTGCCTGTAAAAATTATTTCCCAGCTTTCTGCTTTTTTTCTAATCTGGGACACAATTTTTACAACCAGTGTTTCTGATAAAGGCCTCATTTCTCAAATATATAGAGAACTGAGTCAAATTTATAAGAATACAAGTCATTCCCCAATTGATAAATAATCAAAGGATATGAACAGGCAGTTTTCAAATGAAGAAATTAAAGCTATCTATAATCATATGAAAAAATGTTCTAAATCACTATTGATTAGAGAAATGTAAATGAAAACAACTCTGAGGTACCACCACACACCTATCAGATTGGCTAATATGACAGAAAAGGAAATGATAAATGTTGGAGAAGATGTGGGAAAATTGGAACACTAATGCATTGTTGGTTGAGTTGTGAACTGATCCAACCATTCTGGAGAGCAATTTGGAACTATGCCCAAAGGGCAACCAAACTGTGGATACCCTTTGACCCAGCAATACCACTACTAGGTCCATATCCCAAAAAGATCATAAAAAAGGGAAAAGGACCCACATGTACAAAAATACCTGTAGCATCTCTTTTTGTGGTGGCCAAGAATTGGAAATTGAGGGGATGCCCATCAAGTGGGGAATGGCTGAACAAGTTGTGGTATATGAATGTGATGGAATACTATTGTGCTATAAGAAATGATGAGCAGGATGCTTTCAGAAAAACCTGGAAAGACTTACTGACACACAGTAAAATGAGCAGAACCAGGAGAACATTGTACACAGTAACAGCAACATTGTATGATGATCAGCTATGACTGACATAGCTCTTCTCAGCAATACAATGATTCAACACAATTCCAAAAGACTCATGATGGAAAATGCTGTCCACATCCAGAGAAAGAACTATGGAGTCTGAATGCAGATTAAAGCATACTATTTTCACTTTTTTTGGTAGTTTTTCCTTTTTGTTCTTATTCTTCTTTCACAACATGGCTAACGTACAAACATGTTTAACATGATTGTACATGTATTAACTATCTCAGACTGCTTGCTGTATGGGGGAGAGGGAAGGGAGGGAGGGAGAAAAATCTGGAATTTAAAATCTTACAAAAATGAATGTTGAAAACTATCTTTATATGTAATTGGAAAAAATAAAATACTATTAAGTGGGATAAAAAAAACAGGGCACTGGGCCCTGGCATCTGCACCCTCAGCCCCTGATGCCTCTTAAACATAACCATTATTTTTCTGGGCTCCCCCACCCTCTTTAGATTCTTTTCAGCTGGGAATGAGTGATTCTTCCTGGGGCCCAGAATAAGGCTTGGCCCCTGGCAGCTGACAGAGGGTGACGGTTCTGCCTTCACAGAGCCAGAAGACAGGATAGAGGGGCTGGGTGAAGACGGCGTTGAAGACATGCAGGAGCTGGATCTGAGGCTCCAAGCTATAGAAAGAGAGACGTCCAACAGGCAGGTCCAACTCCATTCCCAGGAGGTGTCCGGGTTTGCCCAGAAGCCGTTGGGCCTCCCCATTGTGCCAGGCCTGGTAGCCATCCTCCTGCACCCGAAGCCCCCAGGAACAAGAGTTTCTCCCAATGTTGTCTGTCTGTCCGGGCAGGTTTTGCCGGGCAAGCCCACGGTAGGTGACACCCAGGGTCACTGAATGGTCTGACACTTCTACCTCCCAGTAGTGCTTTCCTGCTTCAAAGCTCTGGGTACACAGTACTTGCCATAGCTGAAACCTCCCAGGCTGGGTAGCATGCTGGGCCCTGGAGCCATGTTTTACCCTCTGGTTTTGGCAGGATAGATAAAGGTGGTGGTTGGCGGTGTCAGGGTCAAAGGTGAGGTTGCGATAATCTGTGAGAAGAGGAATATGCACAGGGGTGAGGGGCTGTGGGGCTGGCCACTTCACTGCTCTATGGCTATCCAAGGTGTGACTTCCCTACCCCACCAGTGGAAGGGCTAAGACCCTTTCTGTCTCTGGGCTTCCCGGGATGCTCCTTCCAATAGCTGAGGTCCCTGAGACCCAAAAACTAACCTCAAAGAGACAACAACCAGCATAGACATATATGTAGACTGTACATGAATGATACCCACATCTATAGATACACACAACATATACATGGAGCAGGCTTACTCTGTTTCAGTTCCTTCCTTAGAGTGCTCATGGGTCTTGGGACTGATTCCAGGGGTCTTCTGCACTCTAGAATAAGAGGATGAGGTGTTGTGGAGGGGGACTGATCCCCTTTTTTTGGGAGATCCTTTACTTACTATTCTAAGGGTGATGCTCTGTGGGGAACACTCAGCTTGGCCTAAGGCTGGGCAATAGGGAGGCACTATCACTTAGGGAAATAACTTTGGCCTGGTTCCCGGGGTCAAGAAACAGTCCGTCCTAGACTGTGAGGGAGGAGGGGCACTGGTAAAGGCTATCAAGGGTAGGAGGTCAGCCTTACCCTTGAGGCCAGGATCAGCATCTCCAAGACTCACAGGGCCAATCTCATCCTTCATCAGGAGTTGATAGATTTGGTCTAGTGTCTTCTTCAGCTCCTTCAGCTGACCAGCATCTTCGTCCCACGTCAGTGAGGGCACTGGTGCCAAAGACCCAGGGGGTATCAGAAGTAGAGCCCTCTGAACCATCAGAGACACGGGACCGTCACTCGGGAAGGAATCCTTCCCTCCACCAAGTCTTCTTCCCTTCCATCTGTGATTTCACCCTCCCCCCCCAACTTCTCTCACTACCTCTGGGTACCTGGAGGAAGTTCATGTCATCGGGACAGGTCAGCAGCTCTTGGATCTGCTGGGTGTGTTGTGCCAGATATTCCAGGTGGTCCTGAAGCCACTTCCTGGTCTCCCTGGCCTGTGCCAGGGCAGCTGCCTTTTCCTGCTCAATGCTCTGGAGCGCCTTATCCCGCTGTGCTTCGAGGGCCCGCAGCAGGCAAGTGACTTTTTCCGAGACAGCCAATGCCAGAATGTGGACTGAGTTCTGGGTGGGCGGAGGAGGCTCGAGTTGGGAGCAGTGAAGGTGGGCATAGACTGACAAAGACAGCCCTGGAGCACTAAACAGAGTGGGGTCAACTCTGGGAGAGGTGGAACAGGGCAGTGACAGGCTGGGTTCCTGGCAGATTTGTCCAGGGGACACAAGTACTTCTCCTGTCTGCTGAATTAAATACTGGCCCCTCCTACTTTAAGATTTGCAGAGTGCTTTCCTTATAACAAACCTATAGGGGTATTATTATTCTCACTTTACAGCTGAGGAAACTGAGGCTTGGAGTGTTGCTCATAATCCCATTAAGGGAGATAACATGGTTAAGTATGAAGAGAAATCTATTGGAAGTCAGACCTCAGGGTTCAAATTCTAGCTCTGCTACTTATTAACTGTGTGATCTTAGGTAACTTACTTCCCCACTCAGGGCCTCTCTTTAATAATAATTGGTAGGATTTACCTAGACCTTGAAAGTTGTATTTATTTTTTTGGCAAGGTAATTGGGGGTTAAGTGACTTGCCCAGGGTCACATAGCTAGTAAGTGTTATGTGTCTGAGGCTGGATTTGAACTCAGGTCCTCCTGACTCCAGGGCCAGTGCTCTATCCACTGCGCCATCTAGCTGCCACCTAGCTGCCCCCTAGACCTTGAAAGTTTGTAAAGCATTTTACATACGTTATCTCATTCAATCTTCACAACCACCATGGGAGGTAGGTGCTATTATTATCCCTGTTTTACAGATGAAGACACTGAGGCAGACAGAAGCAAAGTGACTTGGCCAGGATCACAGAGCTAGTAAGTGTCTGAGGCAGGATTTGAACTCAGGTCTTGCTGATTCCAATTCCACCCTCTACCCACTGTACCACCCACCCGCCTCTTTAACTTTAACATGAGGGGGGAGGGTGGATTAGATTATCTTTGACGTCCCTTCCAACTCTAAAGCTATAATTTTATCTTTCCATTAAACCAGGCTACCTGGAAATCAGCCTTTTCTACCAGTGGGTAGACTATGGAGGCAGCCAGAGAACCACTGCTTATTTAAAGCCACAACTCCAAGGGGTAAAAAGATGCTTTTGGATTACATCGCCAAGTGTGAAAGGGGTGAGGTTGAGCAGCCTGCTTCCTTCTCTCAATTTGCCCCTACCAATCCAGCCAGCCTAGTGCCAGAGGCCACATGGAGCAGCACTCCCCAACCTCACATTTCAAGTAAATATGACAATGTGAAGGTTGTAGAGAAACTAGCCTTCCCAACCTAAAGAAAAAGAAATGAATAACAGAACTCCAGTCATGAAGGACACAAAAAGACAGCCAAGACACAGTGGAGACTGGAAAAGAATTCAACCAGAGAAGTCGGTGAAAGAGCTGGCAAATGGACCTGAAGCCTGGGAGGGCTGAAAATGGAATCATGCCAGGGAAAATATAAGTAAACAGAAGAAAACACTAAACGCTGTGAAGAAATACTAAGGATTAAGAGAAAGCCTTGAGGTAATCCTAGATGAAAAGAGTAATTGCATAACAAATACAAGCAGAATCCCAGAGGGGAAAAAAATGGTTTGGCTATGAGGATCACAAGAATTTCTGGATGAAATAAACAAAACCAAAAGTAGAAAGCCTTACCCAAATGATGGACTCTGAAAAACAGAACAGAACGATCACAATTCAAGACTCCGTGAGACAAGAAATATTAGAAAAAAGTTAGATTAAATGAGGTAATACATGTAAAGCACTTTGCAAATCTTAAAACCCTCATATAAATGTGAGCTATTGTTAAAGTCAAAGAAATTAAAAAGAAGAAGAAAATGGAAGGTATCTACAAAAACAACCGATCTGGAAAAATAAGTTGAGGAGAGCTAATTTAAGAACAATTAAACTCTCTGAAAGCCATTACCAATCAAAAACTCTGCATATTTTATTTCAAGAAATCATAAAACAAAACCAACGCATTAGAACCAGAAGACAAAGTATAAATAAGCATATAGCACTTACCTCCAAAGTGAGAACACCCAAGAATGCCTTTACCAAATTCCAAAGCCTTTTAGTCAAAGCAAAAATATTGCAAGCAGCCAGAAAAATTTCAAGTGCCAAAGAACTACAGTCAGGATTATACAAGACTATGCTGTAACTATTATAATGTGAAAAACTTGGAATACAATTTTCCAAAAGGTAACAAATAAAAGAGAAACTTGGGCAGACTTCGAGAGATAGTAAAAGATAGAAAGGCCTGATGTGCGCTATTCCATGGAGTCACAAAGTATCATAATAACAGAGATAAGAGGCTTGAAAACCAAGGATACTGTCCCCTGCAAAACCAAGTCTCATCCTACAGGGGGAAAATGGGCCTTAACTAGAACAGAAGACCTACAAACATTCCTGATGAAAAGACCAAAGCTGGGTAGAAACTTTAAATGCAAACACAGAAGTAAAGAAAAACCCACACTTAAATAACTGGAAGCAATGCAATCATGATGAAGTTCTTTCATTCTAAAAAGGGGAAAAGGAATAAGTGTCCCTTTAGAATACTCCAATTTTCAAGGCTCACAGATGGTGTTAAGATATACACAAACACAAAGGTGTGAGTGTTATTTTGATGTTTTTAAGAAAGGAAATAAAATGGAGGGATAAAATGAATAAACCAGGAAAGACATGAGAAAGAAAGGTAAGGAACCTACTATTTTGAGTAACTGGGGTGCATCAAAAGAAAATCATGCAAACATGGAGGAAGGGGCAGGGACGAAGATCTTATGATGCTCTTACCTGAACAAAAGAGTGTTGAATGTACATACTCAAAAGTTTGGTATAACAGGCAGCTAGGTGGCACAGTGGATAGAGCACCAGTCCTGAACTCAGAAAGACCTGAGTTCAAATCTGGCCTCAGATACATAACACTCACTAGCTGTATGACTCTGGGCAAGTCACCTAACCCAACTGCCTCAAAAAAAAAAAAAAAGTTTGGAATAGAAATAAATTAAATTCAACTAGGAAACAAGAAGAGACAGGGAAAAGTAAGAGTATGGTTCAGGAATGATTAAAAAGAAAAAAACATATAGCTAGCATTATCTATAACTGATAAATACTACATACCTTTCCCTTAAGGGGCAAAGCAAAGATTGTTTATAAGAGGTAGTGATGGTGATAGCAAAAAGAAATTCATTACCACTATTATTTGATATAGTTCTAGAAATACTGGCTATATCAAAAATACAAGACAAATTGAGAGAATAAACATAGGCAGAGGAAACAAAATTATCCCCTTTGTAGATGTAGGTTTACTTAGAAACCTCTAAAGATTGAACTAAAAATATAATTGAAACAATAACTTCAGGAAAGTAATTATATAAAAATAAATCTACAAAAACTATCAGCCACTTCCCTGTATGCTACCAACCATAAAGGTTATACCCAGTCATAAAGGTAGAAAAAGAAATACCTTTAAAAATAACTAAGCTATATATAAAATATCTGGGAGTCAACCTACCAAGACACACAGAAATTATAAGAATATACTCTATATAGAAATGAAGACAAACTAAAGTAATTAGAGAGATCATAATTGCTTATGACTGGGATGTGTCAATAGAAAAAAAATGACAACACTTACTAATTTACAGATTCTATATTATACTAATCAAATTTCCAAAGAGTTACTGCATAACACTAGAAAAATAACTTTAAAATTCATCTGGATGAACAAAAGAATATCAAGGGAAAAACATGAAAAAAAATGTGGGAAAGAAAAGTACCTAAAATCACCAGATCTCAAACTACTCTACAAAAAGAAGTAATCATCAAAGTTCTCTGGTATTGATTGAAAAATCAGAAAAAAAATTGATCAGTGGGAAAATAAGATACACAAAACCCAGAAGCAATTACATACGGTGTTTGATAATCAATCAATCAACATTTCTTAAGTATCTACTATGTGCCAGGCACTGTGCTAAGGAAGATAACTATAAAAGACTTAAGACCTACAATTGATGCAATGATCAGTCACTATTCCAGAGAACCAATGATGAAGCTAGCTTTCTACCTCTTCTACCTCTTAGCAGAGAGGTGATAGGGGAGAGGTTCAGAATGATCGATACCTTCTCAAGCAAGGCCAATGCGCAAGATTTGTTTTATTTGCTTACACTTATTTGGTACAAAAGAGGGTTTTCAGCATGGTGATCCTCAGTATCTCCCTCCCAGAGAGCCATCTCATGTATCAAATAGCATTTTGTCAAAAATCAAAACAAAACAAAACCAGAGTAACTAATCCATACCAATGAAAAAGTATGAAAACACCTGCGATGTGTAACACCTGAGGACATCCCACCTCCATGAAGGGGTGAGTTGGAGATGTCTTCTCATGTCTTCATTTGATGCTTGATCTTTATAATTTTGTTACATTCACTTTTGAATTTTGAGTGTGTGGTTGTTCTTTCCATTTACACTGTTGTAGTAACTATGTTATTGTTTTCTTGGCTCTGCTTACTTCACTGCAACATTTCATGTGGATTTTTCCATGCTTTTCTGTATTTATCACATACATTATTTCTTACAGCAGAGTAACATTAAAATTAAATTAATGTACAAAAAAGGAGGGGGAGATTTTTTTGGGGGGGAGAATTGGGGAGGTAGTGATGGTGATAACAAAAAGAAAAGAAAAAGAAATTGTCAGTTAAACAATGTAAAAAATACATTAAAAGGAGGAAAAGGAATTTCTGAAGGGGACATGGGCAAGCAGGACAGTGTTGGAAGGTATGGTCTTAAATTTAATCTATATTTTAAAGAAACAACAAGCTACACAAAGTATCATAAGTAATCCTCTTTTTCTGTTCTCTGTATAAGGAAATGTCCGTGATTGTCATATTCATGATTAAAAAGAAAACTTTTTTCTTTCTCCAATGCAAAGGGGAGTGATTCTGGAGGTGTGAGGAAGGGCTACGTTACCTGGATCTCGTCACTTCTCTGCTGCAACTCCTGAAGTTGTTCCTCAGCCTGGACTGCCTGCCTCCAGTTTTCCTCCAGCTGCTTTTCCAGCCGTTTCTATGACACCAGTGAGATAAAAAGGCAAGAGAGGATCCAGGGATAGGGCATAGATCTGGAACCCTCCTTCTACCCTGTGCCAATATCATACCAGGTACTTTGAAAAGCACTAGCACGGGAATCAGAAGACCTGAGTTCTGCCACACACATTACATGTGACCTTGGTCAATTCACTTCCTCTTTTGGACCTCTGATTCTTCATCTGTAAAATGGGGATAATAATACCTCCTATACCTATCCCTTAGTTTTACTGTGGAGATCGAAGCAAGCTCATGGCACCTCTAAAGTGCTAAATAAGAGGTTCTTAACCTGGGATCCACAGATTTCAGGCAGTCCATTAACTTGGATGAGAAAAAAAAATGACATCTTTATTTGCATTAAAAAACATTATTCTGAGAAGGGGTCTATAGGTTTCATCAGATGGTCAAAGAGGTCTATAACAAAATAAGTGGTTAAGAACCTTGTGCTAAATATATATAAACTATCTCTATGACTTCCTAACCTCAGCACTAGATCTAGGCAAAAAGAAAGAAAGGTTCCTGGTTCCTCTCTTATCGTTTGTCCCCCTTCCTAAGCCCAGGCCCCAACATTCCCTGAAGTTCTCAATAATTATCTAGAGGTATCAGCACAGACAAACAGATTGACTAACTTGCTATTCCCTGAACTCACCATTCCACCTCTTGCTCAAATGCTTTCTAATAGTTTTCATAATCACTGATTATGTGGCTCATTGTTGAGGTCTAGATGGCTTTGAATGAGTGTAAATGGCAATGGTCTTCACCTTCCAGACTGATCTCTTTGTAATGGTAAATTGGGCTATCTTTTGTCTCGACTCTCATCCCTTAGACATTGAATGGTCATGGCCTCAGACAAACTGAGACCTGGGAAAGATCTCAATTTAGAAAGGCCAAGGTTCTCGCACTACATTCTGGGCCAGTAACAGTCACCTAGACCTTTGTCTTGCCACTAGACTTTGATGATTCTGGAAGGGAGTGAGGCTGAGGATTTTGCACAACCGCCTTATTTAAATCCAATTCGTGTGCAGATCAAGAAATCACCCTCTGGGATATCACCGGTCCTCTCTGAGAAGGAAGGATGAACACCACCACCAATAACCATAGGCTCTTCCCCATGCCTGGAAAGCATTTCATCCTCACCTCAGCCTCTTAGAATCCCTAGCTTCCTTCAAGGCTCAGCTCAAGGGCTTTGCTGGTCTCCTGAGGTGTTTGTGGTTTCTTCCTCCTCTTCATACATATCTATATCTATCTATCCATGTAGCTAGCTAGATATAGATATATAGTTAGACCTATTGATAGATACAGATCTTTATATATATAGAGAGAGAGATATCAATATCAACAGACATCATTATATAAATATAGATGTGGGTAGATATAACTATATATAGGTAAGTAAGATATATAATAGAGCTAGATATTCAATATAGATATAGATATATAGATATCTATCCATAAAATATATATCTATTAAAATATATATATATAATATATATCTATCCATATAGATATATAGGTATACATATAGATATATCTATCCATATAGATATATAGGTAGATATCAATATGGATAGATATATAGATGTATATAGGTAGATAGATATACAGATATCATTTTCGATAGATATATAGATAGCTGTACATATCAATATAGACAGATATAGATATCAATATTGATAGATCTAGATCTACCAATATATGTCCATCTAGATATATCGATCTAGAGATCTAGATATATATGTATAGATACACACATAGAAGTGTATAGCTGTATAGATATAGATAGATATATACACATATATGTATACATTTCTATAGACATAGAGATACAATACATATGTATGTTATATTTGGAATTCTGGCCACAAGAAGACACATATTTAAAAGAAAAATAATTGTTTTTTCTGAGCAACATTTTTTCTTTTATTATACATTTTGCCTGTACGAATGGTTGTCACTGAGCTGGTGGGCCAATTATCCCACCCCACTTAATGTCAAGATATTAAGCCCTGGTACCTTACCCAGGTGAGAACAGTTATCTATGAGAAAACAATTATAGGTTTTAGATCAAGTGCAGAAAATATTCTGGATCATTATGGATGTCTTTGCAAGTCACTAGATGAACTGGAGAAGCATCAATAGCCCTTACATATCCAAGGGTGTTTCTAATTTGTTTTTATGGATTAATCCCCACCCCAAAACAAACAAACAAACAAACTTTAAAATGTAATGTAATCAGGTAAGCTTTTTGAAGAGCAGGTATTGTTTTGTGTTGTCTTCCTATTTCCAGCACCTAGCCCATTCATTGTAGGTCATTAAGTAATAACGGTGTTTATACATGTTACATTTCATTTTATCTACAGAATAACAGTGTGTGAGAGTGTGTGTGTGTTATTATCACCATTTCACAGATGGGATAACTGAGGCTGAGACTGGCTAGTGACTTGCCCCGAGTCACACAGCTAGCCAAGTGTCTGCGTCCAGATTGGAACTGTCTTCCAGACTCCAAGCCTTGCGCTCCACTATCCCACTATGCTCCCCAGCTGCCTCCACAAGCTGGGTCAGGGTTTAATTGGGAATGGACTGGCTCCGTGAAGCCTCGGTCCAGACTGTCCTGCACCTGCCCACCCCTCCAGCTCCCTCACCTCCTGCTCCTTGCGCTCCACATCGGGCATGACGCGCCGGTGGTCCTGGCACTGGTCCACTGTGCAGGCACAGCAGATGCACAGCTTCTCGGTCCGGCAGTAGAGCTCCAGGGCTCGCCCATGCCGGGGGCATAGGGCTGCCCGGCTCGGGCCGGGTACTGGTTTCACCGCGGCCAGCTGCCTTTCGGCCGCCCGCAGGGCCTCCACCACTTCACACAGAGCCCCGTTCTTGTGCAGCGCGGGGCGCTGCGTGAACGGGGTCCGGCACTGGGGGCAGTCCACTTCTTGCCTGCGCCAGTGGTCTTCGATGCATGTCCGGCAAAAGTTGTGGCCACAGGGCAGAGTGACAGCTTCCCGGTACAACTCCAGACAGATTGCACAGACCAGCTTCTCCTCTAGTTGCAAGGCAGCCATTCTTTCGCTCTGGCCAGGGGAGGAAGAAGCTGCAGGACCCAGAAAGGGAAGTCTAGGGGTTGCAGCCAGGAGCCTGCAGTTTCTCGAAGTGTGGAGAGAGAGAGAGGGGTTGGCCCGACCCTCCCGGACTCCTCCCCTCCTTTGAATTTTAGGCTTGAAGGATGACACTGAACCTTACGAAGGATCTCTCCTCCCACTTGGGGTAGGCGTGGGGGAGAGGTGGGAGGCAGAGTCATAGGGTGGAGAACTGGAGCTTGCAGAGTGTGCTTTCAGAGGCCACCACACCCAGGAGTCCAGACTAGACACTGAATGTGACCAAATTTCTCTTCTCCCAAAGTCTTGCTGCTAAACTTCCCCAGTTCCCCACCCACTTCCTGTTTGTCTCCTTGCTTTGCTCCCGCCCAGAGCCCGGTCTTTCCTCTTCTGCTTTATGTGCCTCATCTTCCTCCCTGTTTTTCCTGTTATTCAGACTTGCCTCACCTTGGCTGGATGGTTACCCAGGCCTAGTGACAAATGGTAACTATCCCTGTCCCTGCTCTTTCTGCAGCTATTTATTAAGCACTGTATGCCTAGCGCTGAAGATACAAAGAAAAGAGTAAAACCTTCTCTAGCCTCAAAGAGGCTAGAAACAGGGACACATGCACGTATAGTATAAGAATATACAAAACAGACCCAAGGAAATGGGGGGGGGAGTTGTAAAGGAAGGCAATAGTAGCTAGGGGCACCCAGAAAGTCCCTTGACGGATAAAGCTTGAATTGAATCTTGAAGGCAACAAAGAATTCCAAAACGCAGAGGTGAGGAAGGAATGAATTCCAGGCATGGGGTACAGTTAGAGAAAATATCCAGAACAACTTTCTAACAAATTACATACAACAAAATAACAAAGCATACAGATATGTATTGATGAAATACTTTACATTTTCACATTTATAAAATAATTTTTGTGTTCTAAAATAAATACGCTTCATCTTTATTATTAAGAAAAAAAGGCAATTTCTTCCTTTAGCTCAAAACATCTGTTATGAGAATTTTTTAAATTTTCTTTTATTACTTTTTATCATTTGGGGCTCAGGGTCATTCCTCTTGCATCTTTTGGTTAACTAGAAGCCTGTCTTCTGTTAATATTAACTTCACCTGACTAAAACTTGATTCATGAAATGATAGTGTTAAAAACTATTTGACATTGCTCAGAAGCCAAAGGGGAGTTTGACCTTCCCAAAGTGACATAGTTATTTGAAGAAGAATCCCAACTGTAGTTGACTCCTTGGTTATCTTGGTGACACGTAAATCCCTTTCTCCTCAATCAGTCCATTGTGAACTTTCTAAATGTAGTTTAATCTAGAACCTAACTTAGTTTACCCATAGAGTGTGTTTAACTAGGTTTATTTCCTTAGGGAATGTATGAGATTATGATTCTGCATAACAAAATTTGTTCAATGTTATTAACATTGAAGGAAGTATGGGATTATATAATCTGTCTTTTTTATCTTTTATGGCCTTGAGATTGCAATAAGCAAAAGAATTATTTTTTCTGTCTCTCTAATGTAATTTTGTCTGTAAAAACCCTTGTTAGAATCCTAATATTTGTTCAAGGTTATCTTTTTTAAAAATTCTGAACCTGTGCGTAAGCATAGTAAAGCCTAGGGTTTTGCCTCTATAATTTCTGCACTGCAGTAGATTTATTTCAGTAGCAATAACCTAACACACAAATTCATAGAAGAGATATTTCTCCCATAGCATATCCTTTGAAGTGCTTTGGCACAAGGAAGCTGGAGTGTTTTGTGATTGTAGTGCCCTTTTGGAAATGGATACCCGCTGATACAGAAATCCTCATACGGTTTCCCTCTTCAGCCTTCACAAAGTGAATCCTCACGTAAACTGATAAGAGCAGGCTATGACTGATCAGTGAGACTTTCTCTCCAGAGGGAAAAGAAGGAAATAGGCACAGCCCTGGGGTCATATAAGGGATCAGAAAGGCAAATACAGGAGAAATAGTGGAACAGGAGGTATCTTAGGAAGCTGTATTTGGAAACCAGGAAAGCGTAGTGTTCGTCATCATTGAAATGAAAGCTAGCTCAACAATTTTCAATTCCTATGGCGTAAGAAATATTTAGGTAGATTCTGTTTAGCTGAGCTCAGGCAGAAGGATAGCCCCTATATCTGATGATTTCTCTTTCCCTCCCTGACTAGGGAGGGCAGAAGCATGGTAGGAAGAAAGTTACTCAATCTTCTTAAGAATTTGTTTTGTTTTCTGTTTTGCCATTTGTTTGAAAAGAAATCAATTTCTCTAATACCTCATGGTCATTTATTGAAGTACTAATGAGTGTGTATCCTTGAGAGTTGGAATATAATTGAGAAAGGGTGTAGTCTGTGAAAGAGCTCCATAGATTTTACTGACACTGGGACGCATTCTCCAGATAAAAATGGAGCAAGAAGAGAGATTTTATTGACACATGCTCGTATAGCTTTCCCAAAATAGAAAAAGCAGATCTGGGATAATACCTAGGCCCAGGGAGCCTGAAGCAGTTTTGGTGAGGGAAGGCAGATGAGCTAGAGTAACCTTCAGGGGCAGTTTCCTCAAACATTCTATTCCATGCATTCTTCTTCTGGTGTGTTGGAAAGGTAAACTGTAATTAGCAAAGAGCTAGAAACGAGGATGATGCTCGTCCATTGGGGAACAGGTAAACAAAGTGTGGCATATGAGTATGATGGAACATTACGAGGTGTAAGAAATGATGAATAGAGGGAAGTATGGAAAGACATGGACTGATGCAAAGTAAGCATTAGCAGGATATAAGCAGAAGCAGGAGAACAGTGCATGCCCAGGCTATATCTATGTAAGTGGAAAGGACAACAAAACAAGTGAAAGCGAGTGCTGCAAAGTTAAGAATGATGGACTTGGCCCCAAAGAAGAGATGGGAGAAGATTCTCCCGCATGCTGGAGAGAAGTGGCAGAGCATGGGGTTGGGGTGCTGTATGTTGATGGAGGTATGGGCCCTGGAAACTCCCCCCCCCCACAGAACTTTCCGTTTCCCACATGGCCTGGCATTAGCCTGAGGCTATGATCCTTTCAACTGTCCTTGCATTGTGGCTTTGACTGGTGCCCCAATCTCCAATTCTCTGTTACCTCTAACCTAGCCCAGCCCTTCTTTGTCTATCACCTCTGGATCGCCCCTGGCCCCTGGCCACTTCCTACCCTTAACTCCATCTAGACCCCTTCTCACAGGCACCTCAGACTACTTGGCCACTCCTAGATCACATCCAGATCTTTCCACAGTCTTTTTGTGTATGTGTCCATCTTGCCCCCCATTAAAGGGCTCAGATTCTTAAAATCTGGCCAATAGCGCAGGTTCACTAGGAATCTTGCTCACCCCAATCAGTGTTTTAATAAACCCTGTCTCTGACTGAAAGAAGGCTTGAATCGAATTCAATCAAGGCAGGACCCGTGTCGTTTGCCCTTGAATTTCAGGGTTCCTAGCACCCCTAGACCTCAACATATGTAATACAAAGCTTTTTTTTAAAATATGTTTTTTAGTTTTGTGAAGCTTTTTCTTTCTTTTCTTTTTTTTTTTTTTCTGGTGAGGCAATTGGGGGTTAAGTGACTTGCCCAGAGTCACACAGCTAGTAAGTGTTATGTGTCTGAGGCCGCATCTGAACTCAGGTCGTCCTGACTCCAGGGCTGGTACTCTATCCACTGCACCACCTAGCTGCCCCTTGCTTTTTTTTTTTCTTTCTTCATACTTTGTTTCAATGAATGGCTCCTTGGAAGGAAGTGGAAGACAGATACATTGGTAAATGTAAGTAATGTAAATATATATATGTGTATATATATATATATATATATATATACACACACACACACATACATACATATATATACACACACATATATATGCATATACTTAAAATTTTATTAAAAAAAAAAAAGGCCAAAGCATACCCCACAAGGGTTGGAGTCAAAGACATTACCAAGGAGAAAGACCACATAAGGTGCCAGCCAAGAGAGAGTAACTCGCACTACTTACTAACCTTTCATCTTTTAACCCATCCTCCCTCCTTCCCCCTATTTTTGTTGTTATTCAGTTGTTTCAGTTATGTCCAACTTCATAACCCTGTAGCTACAGACCCTTTGTCCATGAGATTTTCTTGGCAAAGATACTGGAGTGGTTTGCTATTTCCCTCTCCAGTGGCAAACAGAGGTTAAGTGACTTGTCCAAGGTCACACTGCTGGATTTGAACTTAGGTCTTCCTGACTCCAAGCCCAGTGCTCAATCCACTTTACCACCTAGCTGCCCCTCCTTCCCCCTACACACACTTCTAAAAGTATTAACGCCCTCACTGCTGGACAAGAATATAGAAAATTCCTATCTCCTGCTTCCATAGCGTCACATATAGCTGTTCTCATACTGGACTGTCTTTATTCTCAAATGCTTAACTGTCTTTTAAGAGCTAACCAGGGGCATAGCCAACCGTTATTTAGTCAATGGTCAGGGTCCCTTTCTAATTTTGACAATGAATTTGTTCATTCTTCATAAAGGGATGATCAGGCATTTTACAGTTAATTTAGTATTATTATCAGCCACTTATTTTTCGGCCTTAGATCCTTGGTTGGAGGGTTGGTCAGCTCCACTACACATATATTAACAAATATTTTAAATATAAAGCATTTTGTAGAACTGTTGAATGGGTATCTCACTTTTTCCTCTTTCTATGCAATTCACAAGTCCAGATCTCCTAGCAATCAAGGGCTTCGGGTTTTTGGTTACAGAATCTTCCTGGAATGATACCGGTTCTTCCCTACAAGCACTGCTATTATAGAAATCACCTCCTTCTGGCTCAGTCACCTCCTGACTCTGAAATTCCCAAACGCTTGAGCTCACTAGGTAGCTACCATGGTTAGACATGCCCCTATTAGGATCACTCTTCAGTCACCTGTGTTTAGGGATAGACACACAAAAGAGAAGCAGCAGCCAGGGACTTGAGGTACATAGACTTTACTAGGTAAGCACATATTCTTGCTGCTGTGAGCATGTAGCTGCCATAGCTACTGCCTCGTGGGAGGTGGGGAGAGAAATCTTATAAATGCTATAAACTCATGTCACTGAGGAATACTAATACAAAATGGTTTTTTTTTTAAACTTATTAAAAGCATTTAATTTTCTCTGGAAAAATTTTCTTGTCAGTGTGGAGTCAAAGAGAAAGAGGTCCTATGTTTTTCTTTTCTTGGCATGAGTAACAACTTCAGAACTAGTCTCCATGGTAAATTGAACAATCAGCTCACTTTGTATTTTGGTTTACTTCTGG